CACGGTGATCACAGCGCACTCCCGATTTTTACAACTCTACAATATGTACCACCACCTAGGACATTACCTTACGTAGTAGCTTAGTCCTTTCACCATGCACAGCCTGACCGCAGCCTTGACCCATACAGAATGTACTTCCAAGTTCGAGAAGGATCTGAAAGCTGCTCTAGAGCAAATATTCGAGAAAGTGAGGACACCTTAGTTGGAAAAAAATATAAAAAAAGAATTACTTGCTTGAATTCTGACATAAAATTGATACAGCACCGATACCATGCAGTTGAAGCGACGGCCCAATCATTGTCATAGCTGAGCGAAAAAGCGAATACGAAACAAAAAGCCATTCTGACCAAAACCACGTTTGGAAAAATTCTTAATGGCATTGCCATAACATATAATACAAAAAAATCGGGACCGTTATAGAGAAAATCTTCATTCACCTATTCGAAAGAAAAGCAAAAGTGATTAAATAGACTTCGCAAATGTTTAACATAAAATCTCTAATATTTACAAAAGCAGTGACAATAAAACAAAGACCACAGAAAACCTAGAATTGGAGTAAACTAAAGCTCGCAGCGTTAGGTGCAAACGGTTGCTTCAGACTTCGACGTTCGTCCGTCCGTCCGTCCGTCCGTCCGGTGCGTTGCGGTCGCGTTGCGCGCATGCGACGGCTTCCGGCGCCCGTTTGTACACAACACTGGATCTCTGGATCGCGTGCGAACAAGTGGCTAGGGCCGCCGTCACACGCACGCAACGCGTCGGACGGACGTAGGATGAATCGTTGAAGTCTGAAAGGAACCTAACGAAAGGTGAACGAACGAAAGAGCGGTCAAACCTTGAGCCAAACGTACAAGAGGCCCGCAATCACAAGAATCAAGCAAAGTCCCCTTCCAGCCCAGCAAAGACGCCTTCCATTACCATGACTTCAGAAACTGGCTCTCATGCTGAACTATTATTATAGGATGTAACTTGCTACATATAATGGTGGGCAAATCATATCTGCTGTAATGTGCTTGTGTGCTTGTTTGATTGAGCTTAAAGAATTGACAAATTTCAAGAAAATTCAGTGAAAGAACTTTGAGTTTCCAGCTCTTTTACTTCTTTCTTTCAGTCCACCACCACCGATTATAACAACTGGATCTGTGGAAAAGCTATTGGTCGTTAGCTTCTGATCGCATCTATCAGTTTTTATTTGACGCGCGCAGTTGTACGCAGCTACTGTGGCAATGTTTCCAACACAGCTGGAAGCAATAATAGCATCTTACTACAGAATAGACCGAAGAGCGCGCTACAAGAGTTTCAAACGCCAAGCGCCCAACGCTATTCCGCTCAAGGCGCTTGTCGCTGTACTCTAAAATCGCTTAATCGATTTTGGTATGGTGACGCAAATGCAACGCAGCACCATGGGTTCCGCCACGTGCGTTTCGATGTTCGCGAAATTCCTGAAAGTTCGACACAAGGTCTGAACACCGTTTAACGGCCTTTCAGCTGCTTTAGTTCACAACAGCCCAAATGAATACCAATATCACAAACAATCCAGTGATAATATATGCAAAAAACTTCGAAAGTTGGAAACAAGTGTTTCATCTACGACAAACTAAAATATAATCTCTGCTCTTTCGAAGCAGCCATTCAAATGAGCAGCCCGCATTTCACCCAGCTATGGTGAATACACCCACAATCAGCAAGTGAAAAAGCAAGTGCGCATGTATGTCAATCAACGGAGAGCTGGCTGACATGCATGCATATGGAATCTTCATAGTGAAAGCAAATTTGACAATTATTGAGAAGGAAAGCTATACAAAGAAGGCTCGTTCAAAACTGCATCTATTGTTCACAGACTAACACCCGCTCGTTACCAACACGCAAATTCTAAAAATAATGCAGTATTTCATAGAAATCGTCAGCTTTCAAGTAGTATAAGAAGATACCGAATCGAAACGAAAGAACACTGAAGCCCTTAGAACTCGAGAGGATGACAAAAACTTTGAAAAATTTTGCATGTGAAATTCAAGAGTGCGTGTGCATGTGAAATTCAAGAGTGCGTGAAGAGTGAAGCCTGGCAGCTATTTTAGCCGCATTGCTCAAAGATATGGCAGTCAAGAACTAGGACGAGTCTACGTTCTATTTCTAAGAAGTTGGTACTCCTTTAGGAATTCCCACGGTAAGCGGCGGTGGTTCCACGGCAACTACCGTATCCTTCCACTGAAAACTCAAACCTTTAACTTCATGGCACGCGATCGGATGTGGTAAGCACGACGTGCTTTCCGGGGAAAAGTATCCAAACCCTTTTTTCAGATACGTTGGGCAATTACGGTAACGCATAGTTTGACTTTCTTTTGCGGAGAAAGCTCGTTTCACACAACACTGAACCTTTCTTCCTCGAATGATATTCGATTGCGACTCATTTCGGTCTAGGATTCCTACATTTTCCATGAATTTGCTTATTAAGGTCAGCTGACGACTTCTAGAAAGATGCTGGCAACATAACCGGTACCTTGATACTTTTAGGAAGTACTAAGCAATAAAGAACTTTTTCAGTAGTTATACTTAGTGAAAATACAATAAATAAACGATATGTGTAATGTTTTCAACTAAGTTTCCCATGTCACTCTTTTAATAATATATATTAATACTCCTCGACTCCAAAACCATAGACCCATCTAATCAACCCTGAATGTACCCTTAGGATCAGAAAATGAAAGTAGTTTGTTTACAATTTGTTTTTCCTCATCCGTTTTCGGGATTCCCTGAAAAACATATCTTTGACCACTGATATTCTCACGCTTCTATCCAAATTGAATAAAGGTTGTAACGGCACAGTGCTCAATAATTGCCCACTATTAACAGTCGGCCGGCATTAGCGATAGCCATAGTTGCGAACATATCCGCGCTTTCAATTCGAGACGACGGCTCCCTGGAGCAACGTCGCGCCGCTTCATAGAGCCTCAGAACGCTGCAAGAAATACTCCATTGGAAGATAAGTGTGCAAAAGCAAAAAGCAATGAATAAAAGTACTAGTACCTCTTCAAATTCTCGAGAGATTTTTCATCACTTGCATCTGATCGAGTAGAAGATGGAGTAGGGCTAAGCATTGGAACGCTGAATCTCTCAAATTGTGTACGAGAATCGTTCTTCATATCCTCAGCTGCAGCATTAACAGCAGTTCCTAAACTGTTGAACCAATTCGAGATTCCGTTTCATAGTTAAGGTGTTTAACAAAAAACATCGTAAATGAAATAATAAATGAGGCAAATAATAATAAACAAATGTAAACATACAAATTAACAAAATTACTAAGAGTATTGAGAAAAACTAACTCTTCGACGACTCATTCATTCCAGTTTCATTGAGATGCGACTGAAAACAACTCTTATAGTTACCACATAACTATTCGAACTCTTGTGAGTACAAATTCATCATTGAGACAAAATTAGCAAATATAAATGGTTATAACACAGAATTTCAAAAGAATTTGCACTATTTTCTGTTTTTCTTACAGCAGAGCTGGTTCAGACAACAGGGCCATTCCTACTTTCTTCTCTTCTTGCTACAATATCTTAATCACCCACCTGCGGCACCTGAGTCTTCGAGCCCACTTTTGTAATCGTACTCTGCACCAACAATGGAGGTGGTAGTTCCGCTCTATCAGGGCTGAATCGTTCACGATCTTCTGAATTGTGCTTGTTCTTTGTAGCACTTGTAATAGATCCTGAAAAGAACTGCTCGAAGTGCCATAGCCGATTTCCTTACTTTCACGAAAATATTCGTAAGGTTGCTACAATAAAAAAGATAGAGGATGACGCAATGATTCAACGTACCTATGTCAGAATTAACTTCTATGACCTTTTTCTGCTGTACATCATTATCATTAGATTTCGCGACTTTGCCCGAACCATCCGATTTTGTGGTTGCAGCTTGACCCGAAAATACCTGGAAGAAGAACTTAACAATCAGTTTTAGAAAAAGAGGTACTCCGCAAAGCTCACCGTTTTCCTTTCTGTCTCCGGCTTGCAACATTGTACGGCTTCACATTCCTCTGCATTTCTAATCGAGAAGTAATCAATTGTCCGTGGAGTTTTCTTGAACTCATTTCTATCTATATTTTCCTTCCCCTCGATATCACGGTCAGAAGGTCCATCTGAACTCTTGTTGTGACGTAAATTGTTGCTTGAAGTCGGACGCTGCACCGGCGAAAGAGGCGACGGTTCAGTTCTTTCACAGTTAAAGCCCTCGAAGTTTTCTGAAGTTGCGATCCCCCCGTCATTTGTTGCACGACTTCTAGCGGTTTCTGAAACCATTCAAGATGTACACAACTCCAGTATAGTAAACATAAATAATTAGGAGTAAGACGGTGATTAGATTAAGCAATAACATCAGAAATTTGTTAGCCTAGTAAGCGAATTCAAATGAAAATATCCAACCGTACCTGTTCCTCTTGTTGTTTCATGATCAGGAGTCAACTGGAAAATCCGTGGATCAGAAAATATAACTCTAGTCGGAGGTAGCTCCAAAAAATTTACCGTTCTCATGTCTGCCTCAACTTCGAGCCTTTGAGATATCCGGACATCTTCCAATGAACGTGAATCACGCCTTTCAGGGCTCGGAGACCATATTTTACCTTGCGCGCCGTCGTCACTCAGAACACGCTCCTCCACTTCCTGCTCATCTCTAGCATGCATCTTCCGAGCGACAGACATGAGCTGCTCAGTAACACTGGGAACACGGCGACAGCCGGCGTCAGTAATTGTTTCCTGAAACAAGTAAAAATCAAAATAATCAAAAGAATGATTTCCACGAGCAAGAATATTCCTTAGGTAATCTAACTGAATAATATCTATTCCGCTCACCTTCAGGTGGCCTCCATTCCAAGATTTCACTTCCTCTGATGCGCTTAACTTTCGTCCTCTCTTCTTGTCTCTTTGACCCTTTCTTGTCGAGATTTCAGAGCCACACTTTCCACAAACAATACTGTTCTTGAGATTCTTCCTTCGGGTATCGAATTTTCCACTAATCGGCTGATTAGAGTTAATCAAATGAGCGGCCTCTCTGCGTTTCTTATCCTAGAATGGAAATCGTTGAAAACAAGCAAAAAAGAAAACAAACTATTGATTTAAATCGCAAATGGAAACTAGTGATCACAGAACCAGTATTTCAACGAATTAAAGCAATCGTTTGATTCCAAAAGAAAGATGTATAACAACATACACTTGAAAAGCTGTAAAATCTTAACGGAGCCAATTGACAAACGTGGCAACAATTTTTTGATAAGACCTAAGCAAAGTGAAATACCTGTATTATACATAAACAGTCCCTATCACTTTTTATAATATAAAATCATCTTGAGGCACGAATAAATAAAAATAAAAAAATAAAATAAAATAAATAAAATAAAATAAAACCCAAATAGAAAAATACCCTAAAATTCCATAGATAAGAGCGGTTGTAACTATCGGTGAAAAATGAATTGGAATGAAATTGAAATTGAATGCAGTCACCCTCCANTTAACTTCTTCTTCGAAGTTTAATTTATCCATCCATCCAGTTAGAGGGTGACTGCGTTCAATTTCAATTTCATTCCAATTCATTCTTCACCGGTAGTTTCAACCGCTCGTATCTATGGAATTTTAGGGTAAATAAAAATAAAAGACGTATAGATTACCTTCAACATTTCCTCTGCTTCAAATGGTGTGATCTTGACGCGTGAATCAGGTTCAAACGGTGCGGCAGCTTTTGCGTTTAGCAGCCATTCACTAATCCAACCACCCGCAATTGATATGCAAACGTCCACAATCGTAAGACGATCCCAAAAACGTATGCAATCACACTTGAAAACAGCTTAACTTCGGCTGCCAATAATCTTATGGAGAATACCGAATTCGAGTTCATTCCTTATAGTATCAGTTGAAATTAATCAATTAAAATAGCACCATGTACATTACATAGCGAATTAAAAGAACACCCGTGGTTTCAGTCTCTCCTTACCGTAAACAAAGTGATGGTGCAGTCAGCAACAAACCTGCACAAAAACATGCATACAGCTGAGCTACGTGATTTAACACATTCAACCCCATCTTACGCGATTTCTAAAATAACACAGAAGAACAACTTACTGCAGTTCTACCATAAATTGCGCATAGCACGAGTGGGACCAATCCTTCATAGTCGTTTGGCTTGCACAAACTATACGCCGCGTCGTACATGTCCTACGAAGAAAGACAGCATCTTGAGTTCTAAAGGTTTGTAAACATGATCAAATGTATAATGCTACCATCACGCTAGGATCATAACTTAGAAATCTGAAAAGAAAAGAGGGAAATAGGTTCTCAATTGTGAACTTAACGATTGGCGAAGACTTTATCCCTTATCCTCATTCATTATGATTACAACTCTTCCTGCTTTTACAACACACCGGTATATTAGCGAGGACGCTGAAATGTTGGATTCCTTGTGCACACTTCACTTCAATATTGCATCTATTCAGTCACATCTTCCCAATACATATTCTTCCGGATCATAAGAAGAAAATTTCCCTGTCGATCGGAATTACTGTAGGTTAGTGGTGACCGAAGTTATCTAGCCTCAACCCCGATTAGAGTTCCTATTCGACCCGAACAATTTGAACTGAGTCGAAGTAAGATTAAAGTGACTCTCTTCCGTGTCTCCATTGATTGTTTCTAAAATACGCCTGACTTGCTGACGCACACCAGCGTAGATTAAATTCAACAAAATTCAACACTACTGGCCAGTATTGTCGAATGTGATCGATTTTATGATTTCCAAGTTATGACCGTACGAATTTCAAAAGAAGTAGTTACGATGTCATATAAAAACTGATAGAAATCTTCCTTCCAAACTTACATAAAGTATACGAGCTCTAAGGTCCTCGTTCCCAAAGAAGGGACCAACAAGAAAACAAATTAATAGTTGAATCAATAAAGGCAACTCACATCATATATATAATGTGTGCCACGTATGCGACCCAAGAATGTGTTCGTAGGCACTTCATTAACGGAGAATCCATCTGGCAAAGGGAACAGCTCGCTTCGCTCAAAATTATAAACCGCATTGTAATCGAGACAGACACAGCGAAACATTCTTGACTGGTCCACCTTCAAAACAAAAAGCTCGCATACATGTCTGCTCGAGGAAAAGATATCTGCATTTAAACAAATATCGCTTACGAAAAAGGAAAAAACTTGAAATAAAGCGGAGAAATAGCGTGACAGAGGTAGATTTGTATATTCGATGCACCTGTCATTGTAAAATGAGCTCTTTCATTATGGATAGGGCAATGATGGACCCGAATTCCCTTTCGAAGCTCCAAAAGACATACTTCTGTTCAGGATAACTAGCTCAAGAGCAGCAAAGAAAGTAACATACATCACCATGCAGCACAGCAACACGCATGTACACACCATCACGGGCACCGACCAGAGCTTCGCCGGGTCTTATGCTTGAAGCCACGGCTGAAGACCCATTTACTATCGCATTCCTGGAATACTTTTCGATAACTTCAACTTTGTCAAAAGGTCATGCTTGAACTGTCATAAAAGGCTGCGTTTGGATCTGTTCTGAATGTGCTCTGCTAAACGTTATGAAACCTTGAACCTTAGGCTATTCAACAGTTCGCAATAAATCTTTGTTCAGGGAATTTGTGCATTAGTCGTAAAAATACAAGTCATACAAGTTAAGTCATCAGTTTCCCCTGAAAGTTTTTGCGCACGTAAAGAGAACGGCAAGAGTGAGCCATCATGATCCCTCTTTTGTAACCCAACATATTAAATGGCCACCGTTATGGATATTGTTCAACAAAGTTTCAGATAAAAAATAGCCTAAGAA